TAAAAACAAAAGTGAGGTTATGAATCAATGTACTACAAAGTAGTTGAGCTATTCGCCACCTCGGCGCTACGATCTTAATTTGAAATCCCAATTTTTTCTCTAAACGAATGTGGTAAGCTCTGGGGTAACTTAATGGTTGAGCGGCAGTAAAAGTACGAGCGGCACTAAAAGTACTTTTACTGCCGCTCCAGCGGCACCAAAAGTACTTTTGCTGCCGTTGGGGTTGCCAAGCAGCATAGAAATTAAATTTCTACCACCTCGACAGGTGTTAACCTCCTGGATTTGCCTAGCAGCATAGAAATTGAATTTCTACCATCTTGACAGGTGTTGACAAAGTGACGTTTTTTTGACGTTTGGAGAAAAAAAATTTTAAAAAAAAAATCTCAAAAATCTCAATAGGTTTAATTGGGACATTTTTGAAAAAAAAAAATGAAGTATGAATTTGATGAAGCTAAGCAGCGTCGAGCGCGGTTAGTACTTGGATGGGTGACCACTGGAAATTTATACGACGTTTTTTTTTGAGATTATAGCGTTTTAGGGTGCTTATTGAAGATTTAGTACGCCGGCCGCCGGCTTGAGGTCCCTCGTCACTAAAACACTTTATGGGGATAAACTTACCCTTACAAAAGGACCCTTAGGGTTTTTCGCTTATAATAATAAAAATAATAATAATAATTATTAATAATGAAATAATGACAGCGAATATTCTCCCATGTTAATCGTATACAGTAAGGGGCAAGCTACTAGGTATATAGGATCCAACTTGACGAATTTACGTCCGTCCGCAGCCGTTTGAATACCTGTCGCTGTCGGTCCGCTGTCGTTCGTTCGACGACTTTGACGTTTCTTGGAGTTCGTTCACTTCAGTACGTTCCGCATATGGCTAAATTCAGCTGGTGTAGGCACCGTGGTGGAATGATAGAAAGAGCAGTATTGCTAAATTAAACAGGATTTGGCAAGCTGTGGTTTGGTATTGGCAGTAGTGAATCGCAATCACCGCATCCATGGCGGTGCAACATTTTGGTGAATTTAGATACACGCGGGTTTTGATACAGACTTAAGTCCGGTCCAGACGCTAACTTACTGAAAACTGATCACAACATTTCGTCTGCAACGTGTTGAACTGTGCAGATAAAACGTACAAAACGTAGTAGCGACTGGACCGTGCTTTTAAATGTTTCGTCGAACTTCGCTTATTTATAATTAAATTTACGCGTGTAGATAGTTGAGCGTTGGTTATCAATAGATTTTTCGAACCAAACCTAGAATGAATCCCGTATTATGAATTGGACAGTGGACAACTATCTTATTGAGATAATGTTTCATCGAATCTAGGACCAGCTTATCTTCTAATTTCTGGAACTATTTGCCGTTGCAAAAGATCCGAATATTTTGGACCAATGAAGTTACCATCGATGCAGTACTACCAAATAACATGTTCTCCATTCAAACCGCTCCAGACATTTACCTTTTGAAGACGTTGGGTTTCCTTAGACCAATAACGGGTGTCACTAGGATTATGTCGACCATGGAGTTGAAATGTTGATTTATCTGTGAATATTTTTGTAATAAAATCTTTATTTTCATTTGCTTTATTCATCACAATTTCACTTAACTCCATTCGCCTGTTCTCAGGATGTGTGGTGCGTAGCTACGTTATTTTATATTATTAAAAAAATTAAAACTTTCCAACATGACTGATGCACGCCAAACTAAACCGAGGTCTGTGTGCAACTGCGATCCGTCGTTTTTGCTCGACCAGATTTACTCGTCGAACAAAACCGTCAAACAAAAACGCAGTCTGTGAGGGCCTTAAGTGATAAAGGTTTTTTGAGTGACAGGTCTTTTTAGGTTTGAATGCTGAATGGATTTGTCATTTTGCGGAATGTGGACGCCTGCAAATTCGTCAGGTTACATCCTATATACCTAGTAGCCTGCCCCTTACTGTATATGGTTGCGTATGCTAATTTTTGATACAAACGGTTGCTGACGCTAGCAACCATTTATTTGTATCAATACAAACAAATATGGACGCTGTTAGCAACATATTTTTTGCATTTTCATTTGTGAAATAATCCTCTTAATACCAATCGAGCTTTAAAATGGTCAAAATGGACCAGATAATTTTCCACTCATGCGCGTTTTCTTTGCAAATTTAGAATTATATTATAGAAAACACGCAATCGTGAAAAATTATCCGTAATTTTGAAGCTCTCGTGGTATGTGGTAGGTATTATCCCCGAAAAATGATACATATTAAAACCTGAAAAAATGTCAAGATTTATTAAAATGAATTCATGGTTTGAAATGACAATTAATGAAAATGACAATCATTAATTAGGTAATTATTTGTCTAGGAAGCGTTATGTCAAAAATTTGACATCTGGTTTTCGTGTAAATCGAAAATCCCCCTTCAACAAATAGCTCCATCAACTGACAAAATTATTGGTTCTCTTGCACTCCCTTTTGATGAAATATGTAGACTCTTATACCGAGTGTGATTTGATAATTTTTTAAAATACACTTGCTTGAACATCACATCAATACGTTTTAAATGATTTCAAGGAAATTGTAAATGCAGCTTTCACTCTAATATAAGTTTATTTATGAGAATTTCATACATCTGTCAAAACTGGTATTCCAACAATAAATTGACATGTTTTGATTGTTGATTTGAACCAATCAGATTGTAATTACGCGATAATTTGCACTAGTGCAAATTATCAAATTTAAATTTTTGATTTATGAAATTCTCTCATTAAATACAACTCGTGCAATGGAAATATATTTATAATTTTCGACAAATTTGCACTCATGCGTTTTTAACTGAAAAAGGCACTCGTGCACTACGTGCACTCGTGCTCTTTTTCAAAATTATCAATAATTTCCATTGCACTAGTTATATTACTATTGATAATTCGAAATCTCCAAAATAGATAAAGCCCCTTTCACTACAACCACGGTTTTGTGGTTGTAGATTCCCATACTGGCCCTCCTTATCTTGGATACATTGTATATTTTCCGTGTTAGAATTATTACATAAATTTTAATCCAGTAATATTCCTAAAGTTATAGTTTAGGTAGCTAGTAGTTCAATAATGTGTGAACCATCTCATCATGGTTAGTGTAATCGATGAATTGACCTTTTGTTTGGACGCCATATTGCGGTGCGCGAACATAGTTGCCAAAAGAAGAAAACAAAAATTACTAGTGGGTTGTCAACATTAAAAACAAAAGTAGCTAAATGAATGATCTTCGCTATCCTTTTTGTTTGTTTACTTTCTCTCTCTGATTGATGAAAGTAAATAGGTACCTAGATATTTTATTATTTCTATTCTGCCCAATACAAGCTAAAATTGATGGCTTTTCTTTTCAAAGACATTCATAACAGGCGGCAAATTTAAATTTTAAATGTAATTTATTTAGTAACTTTTGTTTTTGATGTTGACAGTAAGCTAGTAATTTTTTTTTCTACTTGTGGCAACTATGTTCGCGCACCGCAATATGGCGTCCAAACAAAAGGTCAATTAGGCAATTCAAACCACGTGACATCCAAGATGGCGTGGCGGCCACACATGGGCCAAAAAACACAAAAAAATTTCTGGTTTCTGCCCGACTTAATAGTTTACGTACCTAGTAAACAAATATTTTATTGAATAATCAAAATTAAAGCTGCAAGCAAAGCTCGAAGCAAAATAATTAAAATATACATGAAAACACATATTCAAGACAAACTTGCTGGCCGCCACGCCATATTGAATTTTACGTTTTGACAGATGGATTGAATTGCCTAATTGTTAAGTGAATGGAAAATGACAATGACCGACATAAAATCTGTTTTTTTTTTAAAGATAAAAGTCAATATGACATTATATTGGCACTAGAATGTAAATTTGTCATGCTTTCAAATTTTTTATGTTGAAAAGGCTTGTATTGCCAACATAGTTACTAAATTTTTGACTTGGGGAATTATCTTTAAAAAAAAAACAGACTTTAGAATGGTGGATCCATCGGTAAAATTTGATGAGAATAAAAACGCAGGGGAACTTAGAGGTAGGTACTTGAAAAATTGTGATTTTTGGTGGTACTACTGTTGTCTAGTTCTGTCATTGTATTATTGTCATTGTTATTGAAAGTTGTCAAAGTACGGTCTAAATTAATCTGTGGTCTAAATTTCTATTTCATTTTCACATTAAATAATTGAAAATCAAGTGTGGACTTCCATAAAAAACTCACATTTCATCTCATTCACCCCTCCAAATTCGTTGTCAGAAGAATTACGGATAAAACCTTCCAGATAAACGTCCATGTTAATTAACTTTTCAACTTAACGTCGAAACTTTTCTTTTGCAGAGGAGTTTTTCACCACACCGTTTTCGCCCTCTGTTATAAGCACCTGCTAATTTGAAACTTTGTTCTTTTCGAGAAAAACTCGACACAGCGACGCTTCTTGTTTGGCGAAAAAGGTTTAGATATTTTTTTTTTTTTTTTTTTTGTATGTGATTTTCGAGAGTTAGAAAATTGACTCTAACAAAGTTTGCAACATCTATGCATTCATTGTGTGTAGTTTAATTAAATTTTTCATTGCTTTGTTCCCTAAGTTCGAATCAAGCAAAATTTGTCCATTTCTATTCTCTATTAAACAGAGGATTTGTCCTCTAACTAAAACAAAGCATTTAGAGCAATGCTCGCCCCCCATATGACGTGGACAAAATACTAGAGACGAAATACTAGAGGCACTTGCATTTCGAACACGTCCTGTCTCCTGCAATAACATTACGTTTGAGCATAAATAGTTTAAGACCCTAAAATTTCTAGCTGCTGGGCAAAGCAAATTTTTGTCGAAAAACTAGACACAATACAACGATGAGAAATTATATGTATATTGAATTCCAAAGTTGTCTATGCTTTCAAACTAGGTCGGAGTTTGTTAACTGTTATTATAATCAAAATTAAAGTACCAAGTATAAGACAATAAAAAATTACATTAATCTACTTACTGTGTGTTCAACGTTCTCTTTCTCCTCTGTACAAATTTCTCACTAGTAGCCTCAATACAGAGCAAAACCAGCTTTTTGTCGCACGACGTTGGATTTTGCTTCAAGATCACTTTCTCCTTGAGATCGCCCGCAAGACCAAACTTGCCATAAAACGACGCATGGAAAGCTTCGCAGGATAAGTCCAAGGCTCTCGTGCCATCCGCCAAAGCGCCGTGCCAGACTTCTTTGTTAGGCCAGTGCGGGTCGTTCATGATGTTTTTGCCTATAAAAAAAAACATTTACTATGTGTTATGAGGAATGTATAATTTATTATTACCGTTAAACGAAAAAATTCTTGGTTCGTGAGGTAGCTTGGCTCCTCTACCGTCGAAAATTTTCAGCCAGGAATCGAAAAGTACGTCTCCTCTAAGGTTACAGACTGGTAGTACTCTGTCTACTTGGCGTACGATGGAGCTGAGATCTTGGGCTCTCGAAGATAGGAAAGCCCTGTGAAAAAAAAAACAAATATTCGTAATTTGATAAATCACCTAGTTTAGGCTTGTTCTGGAACTTGGAATAAACCTGAAGAATCGTCCATTGACGACTACTGACTAAATTCAATGGTGATTTTGGGCTTATTAGTTATTTTTACCAATAACACAGTGTGAAGCAAACGATAAATAGAAGAGGGCCAGGTGCCAATAAATTCTAAAAAGTTATTGTAAATTTGGGGTCAACTTAACATCAACAAACTATGGAGGATGAAGTAGTAGAAAAAGCTTGGATTGGTTACCCTGTTTCTTAGGCTGGCTTCTATCTAGTTACCTACATAATATGGAATGCCCTCTATGTCTAGAAACGTGCCTAACGCAACATCTTTGTCATCAATTGAATTTGCCAGGAGTAGGTTTAGAATGTTAGAATGTCCAGTCTATGCAAAGTCTATGGACTTTCCTGGTTAGTAGGCATACTGGCGATCGCTTAGAGGATAGAGCGTAAGTCTGTCTATTCACAATTTTTTCCAGCGTTTTGTGCAAGAACGAGGATACACATATAAGTCTGTATACTTGGGCGTTTTGTCCAAGCACCTGCCAATCTTTGGCAGGTAGACGACTGTCGCCTTTTGGTAAAATTCTGGTACGCATGCTCTTAAAATTTTGCATAGGTGTGGCAATGTTGTCCCTTCTGGTGTAGTGCTGAGAAGGTTCCATCAGGGCTTGGCGATTTGAAGGGGTGGAACTCGCCTATGGCTCATTTAATTCTCTCATATGTTACAGCTTCTTTGCCACCTTGGAGTATTGAACAATTTCGTATTTTTTTTGTAAGGAGATATAATCCGATATCGCACTAAGTCGACACCATGTATCAGTATATTTCAGTTATAACTGGAAGAAGCAATAAAAATATAAACAGGACTAAGAAATTTTCTGGAAATAAATATTGGACATATCCCCACTATTTATTCTTTAATATAGCTATATTTAATGTAATTTGAACATTTTATGTAAGTAATTGTAGTGTATTTGCAAAATATTATCACAGGTGTACTTTAAACATTTGAACAGATGAAGAGAACTTTTCTCAACATGACATTTTGGCATTTTTGTTTTAAGCTTGTCAAATAGAAACATGGATAAAATATTGCATATTGTTTAATTCATACAAGAACTTCTATTAAAAATATAAGAGTAATCTAATGCAAATATGTTATATAAGGGTTGAACATAAATAGGGACAAATCCCTTTATATTTATCGCCATGTTTTTTCAAATCTTCCAACACCAAAGCTTTAAATTATCCGTTCCCACTTTTTTAATGCTACATTAACCTTTTTGTCCCTCATTCTAGAGATATCTAAACGACTTAAAAAAGCAAACATAAAAATATTAGAAAGCTAAAAAAGGTACAATTTAAATTCTGGGCCAAAACGAAATCTAAATTGTACAAGAATAATTCCGCTGGCGAGAGGAGCTCACCCTGATGTTTCTTTTTTTTCTGAGGGTTGCGATATGAAAAATGTTCGCAGATAAAACCTTTCCACATCTAGCCGGTGTGCTGCTTTTTTTTTAATCACGATAATGGTTCTCGGAGTACAAATTTAATCTCCGACCCTGGGCTAATTTGTCCGATGACAATGTATATACCTGTGTGTCCAGAGTCCGAAGGTTTTTTTTTTAGCTGTGCACAGTCAGCGAAACGGAGCATGTACCACAAAATGTATGATATTCCATTCACAGTGCTAGCTTCTTTTAATTAATTATCGGATTCAATTATTATTTTCCCCCTTTGGCGGGTAGTCTCTGAATGTCAATACTATATAATTGAATATTGGTTGAATTATGGCGGATTATATTGGCATAGAGACAATAAATTATTGTTATTATTGGGTAAATAGCTGCTTACTGGGATTGGTTGCTATGAAAAGTTTCATATAATGTGTGCATGTGCATGTGAGAACTTGACTTCTGAATCATTAAAAATCTTAAGCAATGTTGCTGCAAGACTAACTGATAAATAGGTTTGGGATTGGTAAATATTTTCTCTTTCTTTTTCAGATTTCTATCTTTGATAGAATTTGAGATATGAATTACCACATTTCACTGGAAATTGGTCGAGGATCATTCACTGCCATCAACAGCTGTTTTTGAATTTAGTCAACCTGAAGACATCAATAGCAGTGATATACTAACATGAGCCTGACTCAAGTATATCTCTACATTGTTCGATGACTCTTAGAACAACATTGAAGTGTCATTCCAATCAAGTAGTGATTCCAAAAGCCCTGATTATTTTAGGGGTCCAGCTCACAGCATCTGCAACGTAAATGTTCGGAACTCGTCTCACATTTCAGTGATTTTTTCACAACTTAACAGGCTATGACAACCTTTTTTTTATTGTATATGTTTTCAAAAATTCAAATCATGAGGTAGCTGAGGTATTGTATGTTCTGACTGTGTAAATTCGAGCCTTTTAATCACTTTTCCAGATTGTCCAAAGAAGTAAGTCTTTGAACCAAAGCGATCATTCCAATAATAATTATCAACTTCAAAGGGTGCTTTTCAATAGCTCATGAATGCTTCAAATAAACATGCCACGATGCAAAAGGGGTTAAAACGAAATTGCACTTTTTCTCCTACTCAATCTTTCTCGCCACTCGAAATAATTCCCAACTACCACTCAAAGCCTGCTTTTGTTAGGTATTTATCTTCAAAATGCGAAACGGCACGTCAAAACTAGAAATTTAACGTGTCTCAGCCGGTCTGAAGGATTTGTCTGCAAATCCTCCACTTGAAAAGTGTCTCGGACAACAGGCAGCAACTATACAAGTGTCTTTTTGTTTCTCGCTTGTTTACGTTTCAATGAAAAGTTTGTGTCAGCTTTTATACGTCGAAACAAAATCGGTAGATAAAGATATATTTATTAGAGGAATTTTCTTCTTAAGAAAAAGTGAAAAAACTTGTAGATTATTTTAAACTATTTTAAATAAAACTTACCTAAAAGTCCCTTTAAGTCCAGCTCTATGAGCTTCCCTATAGCAATCGTAGTCGGCCCCTCGTACACCTCCAGCGTTACCAGTGTAAGGATTATTTAAGGCCGCTATTCGTAGCTAAAAAAATTTAATTATATAATTAATTATTAAACTCCCCGGTGTGTCAAAGAAATGGGGTGCACAAACACTTCTCTGTTTTCTGCAAGAGTTAAAATCAACAGACCGTGAGATCGTTTTAAGAGCGAAAGGGACGGAAAAAAAAGGGGAATAAAATTGAAACTTTATGGGACAACAAGTGCTTCGAACGACTTCGAATATCACTGCTGGGAGTGCCTGGGAAAAAAATATTTTCTTTTGTGTATAAAAAGAATAATTGTACTTCTTTGAGGCGTTTTAATTAAACGTACACTAAATTAATTTCGCTTTTGAATGAAATTTAACAAATATTTTTATGCTTATTCGGAAAGTGCACACACGCAGAAAATAAAATTTTGCTTTTATCCTTTGTAACCAACCAGCAGAGCAATATTTTTGTTATTTTAAAAATATTAAATATTGACAATCGTATATTGAAAAATTATGAAAAATATACCCATTATATCAATTTACTGGCTTTAATCTATTTTATTGTTATTTTTTATTTATTTTCTCAATAAACCAAATCATATTTGTTTTAATTAAATCAATATTTATGTAGGGCATACATTATAATTCAATTATATTTTTTTTTTATAGAAACAGAATTAATTTTACTAAAATTGTATCTATACTTGATATCTTTAAATTTACTTCAATAGAAAATTTTAAATAATGTAAACAACATCCTACATGATTTTATAATATCCCCAAATTTCATATTTTACCTATTGCATTAAATATTGTTATTAATAATTTATATTCATCGAGATAATATTGTGTAATATTTCAATTTTGAATAAATTTAATTTTAATTATATTACTTAAACAATATTTATATTCATTTTCCAGAGTTCCAGAGGAAAAAATCCAACCAAATCTCAATTTTACCTTGACTGCTACACAAAAAAATTCAAAAATTTAGTAAAAAAGTTTTTTTCGGGCTATAATGCCTTGGTCCATTAGTATTTGTACCTAACGTTTCGTCTACTGCTGAGATAGACATCTTCAGAGTGTTCTCTTCCGTGTTCCTCCGGTGACTGGATTCGACGTTGAAGGACCTGCATTATTTATATCCAGGGTTGTGGGCGTGGCTTGGATTACGCTATTTTCCTTGTCTCGTTCTCGGAAAGAAAGGGTTTTTGTTTTTCGGAGAACTGGCAACCAGCTTTTGTTGTGGTTCATGCCCTCTTCTTTTCTGTTGAAGTTGTTGTGGTGTTTATGTATCTCTATGGCTTCTCTGTGGAGTCTGGTGTAAAAATGTTTGGTTCTATCTAATGCTCAAGTCTGGTCGAAACGAATGACATGGTTTGTTTGTGTAAGCACGTGTTCGGCGATTGCTGATCTATATATTTGTCCCTGCCGATAGTTTCTTTTGTGCTCTTTGACCCTGATGTTGATAGAGCGTTTGGTTGTTCCTACATAGACTCCACAAGAGCAGGGAATTCTAAGACGCCAGCCGTTTCAAGAGGTGACCTTGGATTCTTGGATGATCTTAGACTTTGCTGAATTGTTCTTGTGGGCTTGTAGATAGGCTTAACGTTGTGTCTTTCTAGCGTTCGTCCTATGCGATCTGTGCTGGTTCCTTGTTATTTATGCGCTGTTGCTTCGGTCTTATAGCTCTATTTATCTCCTGCTTGGAGTACCCATTACCTTCAAGTGCTGATTTTAGGTGTTGCATGTCGTTCTGAAGGTATCTGGGTTCACAAATCCGGATTGCCCTGTCAGATAGAGTTTTGCCTAGGATGGTGACTGGATTCCTTGTTGAGGTATCTGTCCGTATGCGTCGGCTTCCTATATACTCTGTCCAAGTTCACCTGAGGGTAATCTCTAAGAGGACGTCGCGGAATGCATGTTTGTTGTCGTTCTCAACTTCCATCGTAAATTGTATCCTGGGTTCTATTAAGTTTAGATGAATAAGGAAGTTTTCGAGCTCTGCCTCTCCATGGTTTCAAACAACAAATGTGTCATCTACATAGCGAAACCAACAAGTAGGTTCCTTTTTTACTAGATTTGACCGGCCGTGGAAGTCTTCATTTTTTATTCAAATGCCTCTGAAACACCACGACTTATTCGAGGCTTGGAGAACTTACGCAAGAAAAAGGCCCATTCTCTAGGTCCCTTGCTTTTCTCCAAAGATGTAGACTCGAAAGTCGTTCCGACATTCCTGAAGATTCGAAGAACTTTTAATTCCTTCCAATCCAACAGCTATGGACCAGGATCTTCTATTGGTAACTGAAAGGTTATCCAACAGCATGCACTGGAGTGACTGGGAAAAAATTGACCGAATGACGTATGACGTGATGGAAGCCACACTAGCGAAAACAACCAAGAAACTGGTGAACAAGTTTGAATCCTTGAAACCAGTGAACACTACGAAACCCACAGGAAATAATCGCACATTTGTCAACCTGACCCAATGCGTTCTGACCGATTCGGAAACCAGTGTTCTAAGAAAAGGAGGCAATTTTGCGATAACACCGAAACAACTACCATTCGAAGACATCATAGCAAATGTAGAAGTCAGCATCATGATCATAATCATGAACTTGGCTGACTATGAATCAAAAATTTCCTAACTGCTAGACCTCTCCACCTGAAGCTGAAGCGCAATCCCACTGTTTCTATATTGCGAAAAACCAATCAACTCGTCCGAGCACTACCGTTGGACCCGGAAAACATAAGAAAACTCATCAAATCTGAGGCCTTACCACCTAGAATAAATGGGCTTCCTAAGTTTCACAAAACAGGCAACCCACTCAGGTCCATTGTTAGTGCAATAGATTCGCCCACATATAGCATAGCCAAATATCTCACCACACTCCTTCAGCCACGGATTGGCCAATCCAGCTCCTATGTTAAAGACTCAACTCATTTCATCAAAAAAATCAGTGACATCACTCTACTACCAAACGACATTCTGGTTAGTTTTGATGTCGTCTCATTGTTTATTAAGATACCAGTGAATCAGGCCTTAGAGTATCTGAAAGATGTTTTTCCGGAAGAAATCAACAACTTATTTCACCACTGTCTGACGACTACGTACTTTCAATGGCAAAATTAATTCTATGAGCAGACAGATGGAGTCGCAATGGGAAGTCCACTCAGCCCGGTTATCGCCAACTTCTACATTTATTTATTTATTTATTTATTTATTGAGCAATAACATCTATGAAATATAATTCTGTTTCCTTAAGATTTAGGTTAATATCCTTATTAATTAATGATTAAATAATTTAATAGGAACATTGCTATTCCTAACCTAGCAACGCACTATTACATCTGTAATGTTGTGTGTGCTTTCTTTTTTCTGTATACAATAATTTAATATTTAAATATTTACAAGGTTTCTAACTTTTATGCCAATTCTAATTATGCGAATACGCACTCCAAAAATTCTAAAAATTCAATTCGGAAAAAAGAAAAAGAGATAAAAACAATATGAACAAACAAGGAATCAGTCTGATGCATGCACATTGAAAATCAAACTCAAAATCAGACTAACCGGTTAACAGTGAAATTTGTTTCACGTATACACTGAGAGATGTCTCTCTTTACTCTGTGATACGGCCCTTTTCGGAAGGCATGCGGTAGGCAGTTATAAGTTTTAGGCCCTACACAATAGATATGTTTCTGGCACAATGTGTGTTTGGGGTTTTGTTGGATGACATTTTTGTCTACAGTATTTCGGGTGTATACACCATGTTGAATACTTTCTTTATAGTAGGGAAACTTTAGCATAAATCTTATCACTGACTTTATATACAGTTGATTTGGAGACATCAACCCAGTCTCTTTATAAACTAGGTCAGTGGGGTATCTTTTTTCTTTACTCAGTATTATTTTAATGATCCATTTTTGAGCAACTTGAATTTTCGATAGAATTGACGTACCTGCACCACCCCATACCACTATGCTGTAACTCAGAACTGCCTCCACTAGTTTAAAGTAAATAATTTTTAATGTTTTCAGATTTAGAATGTTTCTTAATTCATAGAACTTAAATGCTAGTTTTCTTATTTTCTTTGCGACATTGTCGGCATGTACTCTCCATGTGAAGTTTTGATCAATGAAGATTCCTAGATATTTTGAAGAGGATTTTCTCTGTATTTTTTGATCATAATTACAATTTATATCTGAAATACACCTAGAGTAATGCAGTCTTAAACTATGATAATACGGCAAGGATTTTGATGATAGGGAGAAAGCAACAAATTTGGTCTTATTGACATTTAAAGAAAGTAGACTGCAAATAAGCCATTTTCTTATTTTATGCATGGCTATTTCGGCGTTCTTCTTTGTACTTTCCCAGTCTTCACCCTGAATCACAATGCCTGTGTCATCAGCAAAGCAATATATTTCCCCATCATCAAGAACAGATAGAATGCCATTGGTATAAACATTAAATAATAGTGGAGAAAGTACCGTACCCTGCGGCACACCACACACCACCTGCTTGTCACTCAGATCATCCGATAATCTCACACATTGTTTTCTTCTATTTAGATAGGATTTAACAAATTGTTTTGGAGTAGGTACCTTTTATTCCCATGTTGTCCAAGCGCTTAAGTAGAATGTGATGTGCCACAGTGTCAAATGCCTTTCTCAAATCCAGAAAGATCCCAATTTCTACCCTGATCAAGATTATGTACAATTTTCTCGGTGAATCTACAGAGTGCAACTTCTGTACTTGAGTTCTCTCGAAAAGCAAATTGATTACCGTGGAGCAGATTTTTTTTTCCAGGTATGCTAACATTTTGTGTTCAAAGCATTTTTCCACCAATTTACCGATTGTGCTGGTTATTGTAATTGGCCTATAATTGTTTGTTGATTTTCTATCTCCCTGCTTATAAATTGGCATAACTATGGACGGCAATTCTCGAATCGTGTGATCCCTGTTCTCATAGGAAAAGTCGGCCTGGTTCGATTTAAATCTATTACAACGTAATCTCGAAATTAGGGACCGTTCACTTCCTATGAAA